GACGCAGTGGCTGCAACAATGGACTCAAGCATAACAATGATTTTGAGTATGGCACGGGATTGGGCAGCGTTTCTTTCTGTTGAACATAGGGTCGCTGAGCTGGAACCAACTCAATGGCATCTAACAACAACAACATCAGTATATACACAGACTATACATACATAGGAGCCCCATAGCACTGTGGTTAACAGCTCGTCTGCTAACAAAAAGGCCGGCAGTTCCAATCCACCAGATGCTCATTGGAAATCCTATGGGGCAGTTCTACTCTATCTTAAGAGTTGCTATGTGTTGGAATCAACTCGATGGCAATGGGTCTGGTTTTTGGTTTATACATATATGTGTATATATTTACTTTAAGGTATACATACACACAGAATGAGAGACTATTTATACACACACATATATACACAGAGTGAGAAACTATTTATAAGATGTAAATGTATAAATTATGAATCCTCATAGTTTTTTGAGATACGTAAATGCAATGGTCACTTTAGTGACATGGTATCCAAAACTTAACAATGTTTAGGTGTCTTCTACAGTTCACACAGCTATAAAGGCTAGAGCAGAGCCTTGGCCCTGACTTCTTTTGTTAACCATAATTTATAATCATATTATCACCTTCCTCTGCTGAATTTATATCCATATAACTGGAAACATCTTTCAAATAGCAATGCATTAAATTTCAGAGTTATATTTTAATATTTGTATTGACAACTTTGGCAAGTTTGTATTTATTGGTTTCATTTATTTGAGGGTTGAGGAAAGAAGACAGGTTTTTTTCTTTAAGCAATGAGGAAAAAAAGTAAATATTAAATCTATCTTGAGATTTAAATACTTTTAGTCTATGATATTTAGTTGAAATCCCAATGATGCACCAGGAAATGCTCTATATTTTCCCAAATGTTCTTCAAGTCATAAGATTCTGTGTGATAACACGATTTGATTGGGTGCTGGTTGTGTTGAAATAGAGCATTTTTTACCATATTGTAGAAAATCAATTTGACCTTTATTTAAAATATATTTCTGCCTGAATTACAGAGATGCAGGATGCCTTAAAAGGAACCCTAGGTGCTTTCTAGGTGGGATTGAGCTTTCACATCATTACTGTGAATTTAATTTAATCCTGCTCCTTTCAATTCGAGAGACCCTTTCATCACGTATCAGATTTCACTGTCTTCTCTTTAGTTATGCAAATATCCCTTTAAGTAGTCACTTTACACTTCAATGTATTTTTCAGATCGTAAAATAAAAAAGATTAGCTGACAGAAAGTAATAACCCAAAGCACAATGTCACCTGTCAGGAAAAGGAGCAAGTGAATCACCTCGGGAGCAGATTTCTTAATGTTTGACGGATTCCGTACTTACTGAGTACTGACAACCGCCAGGTGCGGTGCAGGACCTAAATGGGATTTGCTTACAGGGATTAAGATCACAGCGTGTAGACAGTGATATAATCATCAGGAGAATTCCAAGTTAATATTTTGGAAACATTTTTTTGTATGATGGATTTGTAATAATTTTCCTACATAGTCGAGAAGAAATGGCAGGTAAATCATCTGTCTTATTTAGAATTAGTATTTTCTCTCAGGATGTAGATTTGATTGGAAGTTTGCAGTGAAAAAGATCTCCTCTTTTTCCACAGAAATTCAGGAAGTGGGAGTATTTATGGATTCTCTGGTAATTAAGCGACAATTACTTCCATATACTCACCAACAGGGTCTATCCTCTTCGCAAGGCAAGTCAACCTTCTGTATCCAGATTACAATGGTCTGCTCTCCTAACTGGAATGCATTCTTTGCCACATTACAAGTACTCAAATCCTGGCCTATGCCACATCCATAGTCTCAAGGATGCTTTCCCTAGGAACTTCCTCTCAGGAACTGCCCCCATGTGACATCTCCTGTGTAAAGCATCAGCGATAAGCCTTCTGTTATTATACATAAATTATTCTCACTTGGTCTAGTTGAGTGATAAAACTTCACCCTTGTTTTTCCAAGTTAAAGTTTCAGAGAATTTTCTGTCTTCAAGAAAGCTTTAAATTATCAATGTGGTAACTCTGAACATCTTGGATCTATTCCAAGTCAATACACTGTTGCCTACCCATGGTTTCTCTACAGATAAGCAAATACTGATGAGAGATAAATATTACAAAGGTACTGTTTTTTTTATTGAAATAAGATGGAGAATTACACTGATCAGTAGAATAGGGCCTAAAACTTGCTTGTCCCTTAGATAGGTTAACACATTCATAGTATTTGTTAAAAAAGATTGGATAATTAAATGTTAATTTAATTAATTAACTTTTAATTAAATGTTAACAGAATCACTTTCTAAAGAAAATTATACTTTAAATTCATCCTAGGAAACCTATACCTGTAGAATTATTTAAAGAATACAGTTTGGCAATAATTGAAAGTAAACTTTAAATTCACATAACAGATTACATCTTTTGATTTTTGAAATTTGAGGTGACTAGTCAGTTATTTGAGCTCACTTTAGTAACACCTTGAATAGTCATAATGAAAATTTATCCTTCTATGTGGTTCATTTTTACAGAGACCAAATCTTTACACTGAGATTTATTATAGCATGAGTTATTTGAGAGTGTAATTTAGAAAACAGAGACACTTAACCTTTTGGATGGACACAGTAAGCAAACATGTTAATGTTTAATGTTGCTTTCATAATTTATTTGGGATACACTTATTTTTTGGCAATATTTATTAAACTCTTATGAGTAATTGAGGTGTACTCAGTATCCTTTCCCTCTTTTCATCTCAATAACCCTGCTACCTCTTATGAAACCACATTTTACAATAAAGAAGATTTTATTTTGTAGGTGAAGCATACAGCCTAACTTAAATCAATCAGCACAGAATACCCCTTTAAGAAATGAGTTCACTAAAGGTAACTCTCAGTGTTCTAGGAATTCTAGAAATCAGTGTTTCTGTTTTCCTTTGTACCATATAGCATGCAGATGTACAGACCAGAATTGTTGTAGTCATTTGTTGCCAAGTGGGAAGCCAATCTGAGGGAACAGAGTTAAGAAAATCCCAGAAAAACAGATACAGGCCGTAGTCATGTTGAATAACAATCCCAACTTAACTCTTGGCCTTGTCAGATGTGCGAGGCAAGAGTTTTCCTATAATCTTTTGCCAGTTTGAGTCAGGTCTGTACTTATTTGCAAATGAAGCACATAATGGATAAGAAATTTGCTACCAGAAGTGGGGTTTATAAGTAATAGGCTAACATCTATTAAAAGGGAAGGAAGTGAGACAGAGGCCCTTTATCAAATGAGAAGTTTTGCAATTGCACAACAGATGGTTAAACTGTGAATCCTTGTACTTTGGACGTCTTAGCATGTCCTACCGACACTACATATAGTATCAGGCAATTGAGGGGAGAAAAAAATAGGATGATGGAATCCACAACCAAAAAAAGCAGCAACTTTGCTTTGCTACTTACCTTTGAACGTAGACTAGAAAAGAAAGTTTTGACAAGAATAGCTCTTCTGTCTTTGGCCTGCAATGCAAGTTTACTAAATTTCATTTTCGGAGATTTACATCAGAGAAAATATAGACGTATAGGAAATATATGGCCTTGCCCTGGAATATTTCTAAAGCACCGTCTGCTTGAAAATATCAGCACGCACAATATGGAAATGAAATCTGAAGGAAGGAGATAAATATAAATACTCCATCACAACAGACCATTGTTTCTATCAGGTTCTTTAAGAATTATGTGTGTGTGTGTGTGTGTGTGTGTATATATACACACATATTCCCAAAATGTCTAATACAAATATTTTTTCTCAATTAAAGATGAAAACACAGCTACAATTGTAATATTATTTTAAAAGGTCTTTCATATCCACCTGATTTTCAATTTAAGGTGAGTGCATTAAATGTTTTCCAAATGTAATTAGCTGATTTTTATATAAAACCAAAACCAAACCCATTGCCGTCGAGTGGATTCTGACTCATAGTGACCCTATAGGACGAGTAGAACTGCCCCATAGGGTTTCCAAAGAGCAGCTGGTGGATTTGAACTGTCGACCTTTTGATTAGCAGCTGAACACATAACCACTGCGCCAAATCAAATAAGCATCATTTTTCAAAACGATTTACAATTTAAACAATATTTTTCTAAGATGCTGCGCACACTAAGCTTCTGTCAAGCCCCATTAAGAATCATCTTTAATAAACATACCAAGGCTATTTAAGTCTGATTTTCCTCTTTACATTAAATATTTAATTTTCTGATTTCCAGTTTACAACTGTTTAAAATGACATGACTTTACCTCTTCAATATTAATTTTATATTAATTTAAGATATTTTGATTCATTGTATATGTCAATAAATCTCCACACATTTTAACCACTAGTATGCAGTTTTTTTTTTGTTTTTTTTTTTTAAAGGGATGATCACTAACCACCACTACTTATCAAACAAAACATATGGTTATTCTAGTGGTTTTACAGATCTCTCCAGTTATAAATTCTGCCAAAAAAAAAAAAAAATCTAAGAATTAGCTAAGAGTGAAAACATATTATAGTTGACTTTTGAATTCTACCTTCATACTCTTTCCATATGCCCTGAAAGAGAACATTAAAAACACGACTTTGCTGGAAGAGACCATCTTACTAATATTATTTAAAAAAGTGGTGGGAACAAGACATTGTATTACTGGTATGTGGAATGTTTGTAGTTATCTTTCCAAATCATTAGAAAAATGTTTAAAAGGTTAAAAAAAAAGTATGGTGGTGGTCCCTAATCTATTTTGAAAAAGATTAGCTTCAAATAAACCCAAATGATTTCACTGATTATAATAGCCCCACAATGACTTGGGGGAAAAAATACACGAAACAGCACAACAGCAAAAATCAAAGAGCACACACTATTTTCAAGAACAGAAAAATCTCTAGTCCAGAAAGATAGCTTATAGTAAGGAGCATATTTCTTTGGGGACAGTGATCAATTAGACTGAAATTCATTATGGTCATTTCTCTTTCTTACTACGGGGGGAGTCTGCTCTGTTTGAAGTTTCCACTCCATTTTCTGTTCCTTTTCTAGAAGATCTTCCTTTAGTCGTTGTCCGTTTTTTCTTCACACAGGGGGCCTCAAAAGTAGATTGTTCCCGCCACCTCTGAAGCTGGACAGTAATTAAATTCCATGTTATGAATGCTTGGATCGTGCAACTGGAAGACAGAACAGCAATTTTTGCAGCCAACACGTTGAAGTTTCCAGCAATGATATCCGGCTTCTGAGTCTCAGATCCAGCAAGATGAAAGCCAACAGTAAGTACCGAAACAATTAAAATCAGCAGTCTTCCCAAAACAATCACAATTGTCCACAGAGAAAACCCTTTCTCATACTTTTCATCACTGAAGTAAAACAGGTCGCACATATGGGATAGCAGTTCAACAAAATAATGCAACACCAAAAGAACAAGTCCCAGATGATTCAAGTACAAAAGGTAAGCTCCAGCAATATGAAAGAGGTGAAGACCAAAGTAGATGAGTTGACGGGGAACGTCCTGTTTTTTGGTTTTCTGGAAGTAGAGTTCAGGAAAAGCATGGAGCCAGTAAGCCAACTGGGATATGTAGAAAAGCTTCATTTGAAATGTCATCATGTTATGAGGATGAGCCCTCCACAAAACAGTAGTGTCTGAAACGTAGTTTTCAGAGATCAGAATGAGCGTGCCCCAAATACAAGAAACAAGGTAAAATACACTAAGCTGACCAGATTCATTAAACTTGCTTTGTTTCGTCTTGGGAAACTGCATTTGCCTGGTAATTTTATCCAACACGTATTCCTGAATTGTGGCGTGAATAATTATTGCCACTAGCATGTAGAAAAAGATTGTGGCCAAATCTTTGACACCATAATTATAAAGGGACCTGGATTCCGTGGCTTGTTCTTTCGCTGCAGGGATGGTAACACTGTGCTGAAGAGTGATAAAAACGATAGATGCTTCTGCTGTCGCCTCGAACATCAGTCCCAGTACGAAGAACATGCCCACACAGGAGACAATGTCCGCATGATTCTGCAGGATGAATTCGTGACTCAGGACTGGGGGGCTCTTGGTGCTCTTCTTGCGGATCGCCATGGTGGCGCTTCCCAGATACTCACCGAGGAGCGGCAGCTGCCTCCCCCGGGATGCTCCTCACATTGCCACCGCCGCCGCTCCAGCGGCTTCACTGCGCACCCCAAAGCCGCCCGGGCCGCCGTGGCCGTCCAGAAACATAAATCAAAGGCGAGGGCCGAGCGCGGCTGAGCATGCGCACCAGGAGGACGACGGCGGCAGGGAAGGAAATCGAGCGCCGCGCCCCTGCCCGGCGCCAGGGCCGGGCTTGCGAGTGTTGATCTTCCAGGTTGATCATGGCTTATTGAAAGCTTCTCCCACTGTCAAGGTGCTCCTTACTTATTTTCAAAGACATTTTCATTAATATACATGATATAGCAGATACAGCAGGATGGAGCTCTGGCTGTGCTTCATCATGATAATTGTAACAGCGTAATAATAATCATGGCAAATTCGCACACTGCTTTAGTGCTTACTATTTCCCAGATGCTTGTTCTAAGTACTTTACATGTTATCAACAAATTTAACCTTCCTAGAAAACCCAATGAGGTAGATGCTATTTTGACCTCTTTTTTTTAGGAGAAACTGAGGTACAAAGAGGTTATATAACTTGCATAGAGCACACAGCCAGTAAATGCCAGAACCAATATTTGAATCCAATCTGGATCCAAAGTATGTGCTCTTCACCGTTTATATGCTGTGTTGTCTTTTTTGTAAATTAATCATATCTGAAAATATTTTACAAGCTCAGCAACAAAGCATATTTAAAAAATAGTTCCCCTGTTATCAAAAAGATAAAATAAATATAATAACAACACTAATAATTGTAGTAATGATATTGTCTAGTGAATACTTTTATTTTTTAAGATTATGTGACAATTGGAATAAAACCAAAAAACTGATTCTGGCTTATAATGACCCTATAGGACAGGGTAGAACTGCCCCATAGGGTTTGCAAGGCTGTAATCTTTACAGAAGCTTTCTCCCTACAAGGGGCTGGTGAGTTACAACGGCTGACCTTTAAGTTACCAGGCAAGCACTTAACCACTGCACCACCAGGGCTCCTCTGATGATTGGAATAGGAGACTATTTATCAATTCCTGGGAGGGTTTTTTTGGCCAGAAAGCCCAAATTGGAATTTCCTCACTTGAGCAGATGAGAAGTCTCATGTTTCATTGTAAAGGTTTTTGCATATAATTTTTAAAAAATTCAAATGTCAAAAAACAGCTTCTTTTGGAAATGGTAACTCTCATCTGAATTAAAATTTCACATCAGTATTCTTTTTTTTTTCTTTAATCCAGAGCAATTTTCTTGTTTCTTCTGTCTCTCATGAGATCATAATAGTTACTTATAGAGTTAAAGTTTGAAGTTAGGAATATGCATCTCAGAAGAAAAGGTGCTACATGATTTACAGGATAGTGAGCATTAAATTTAGAACATCTAATTGTCTTTTATCATTGTTTCTCAGTATGCCATGTGCTGTCAAAAGATGCAGTCCAGCTTGTATAATTACTTTTGAGATACTGAACAAAATACTGTAATCAATAGTACCACCTGCATTTCCTGCAACAGCCAAACAATTACATATGGAATTTGATTGTGGAACATGGTATTGAGTTAAGGAAAGTGCCTGCATATTTTTCCATACCAAGAATTTTCTATTTCTTGAAGGATTCCTTGTTGGACAATCCAATTTTTTTAAGGGTCTGATGCACTGTCTTTTCTTAGGTTTTCATAGATGTTACTCAGTTCTTGGCTCTGGTAGCTTGGATTATGAGTGCTATATAAGGCAAACTAAATCAGTGAGAAATTATAAATAGAGATGCACCAAGAAATGGAGGAAAAATCAGACTTGTTGAAAGCAGTCAGGAGGAAACAATCAAAGAGAGGAACAGTACCTTGTGGGAATTGTTAAGAGTTTATTCAAGACAATACATACTTAACTTTGTGAAACCAATTATAATTGTAAATATAGAACTCATCAGACTTCTTACAGGCATAGACAACATGCTGCAGTCATTTTGAGGTGCACTAGGTTAATAAAAAAAATTCTTATTGCTGAACTGAGACTTCGGTTTATATTTGTGTTTGCAATTATTTCTGACAGATTTTCTGAAACTACTTGTGCAAATACGATAAATTTTACCTCTCTTTCCAAAAACGACACATATCAAAATGAAAAGCACAAACAGTTATGCTTAAGTGTGGAATGTTATATTGTTCCTAAAAGGAAGAAAGCCATTAGGGCGTAGTTAAAAATTATTCCCTAACTTTGAGAAAATGGAACTCTCATTCTTTGCTTGTTTTTCAAGTAAAGGAAAACATATTACAGCATATCATCCTTTCTTTCCTTGAGCTTATAAAACCAAATTATATTCTGCAGTCTAAATTTTTTAAATTTAAATTTTATATTAAATGTCATCTAAGTATTTGAAGAGCACATGGAACAAGGGATATCATTGCTGATGTCAAATGGATCTTGGCCGAGAATACCAGAAAGATGTTTACCTGTGTTTTACTAACTATGCAAAGGCATTTGACTGTGTGGTTCATAACAAATTATGGGTAACATTTAGAAGAGTGGGAATTCCAGTACACTTAATTGTACTCATGTGAAACCTGTACATGGATCAAGAGGCAGTCGTTCAAACAGAGCAAGTGAATAATGCATGGTTTAAATCAGGAAAGGTGTGCATCAGGGTTGTATCTATTCAACATACTTATTCAATCTGTATGCTGAGCAAATAATCTGAGAAGCTGGACTATATGAAGAAGAATATGGCATCAGGATTGGAGGAAGGCTAATTAACTACCTGCAATATGCGGATGACACAACCTTGCTTGCTGAAAGTGAAGAGGATGTGAAACACTGATGAAGATCAAAGACCACAGCCTTCAGTGTGGATTATACTTCAACAAAAAGAAAACAAAAATCTTCACAACTGGACCAATAACCAACATCATGAAAAATGGAGAAAATCTTGAAGTTGTCAAGGATTTTATTTTACTTGGATCCATAATCAACACCCATGGAAGCAGCAGTCGAGAAATCAAACAACATATTGCATTGGGCAAATCTGCTGCAAAAGACCTTTTTCAGGTGTTAAAAGGCAAAGATGTTACCTTGAGCACTAAGATGCACCTGAACCAAGCCATGGTATTTTCAGTCACCTCATGTGCGTGCAAAAGCTGGCCAATGAGTAAGGAAGACTGAAGAAGAATCTATGCCATTGAATTATGGTGTTGGCGAAGAATATTGAATATACCATGGACTGCCAGAAGAACAAACAAATCTGTCTTGGAAGAAGTCCAGCCAGAATGCTTCTTAGAAGGAAGGATGGCAACACTTCATCTCACATAGTTTGGACATGTTATCAGGAGGGACCAGTCACTGGAGAAGGTCATCATGCTTGGTAAAGCAGAGAGACAGCAAAAAAGAGGGAGACCATCGATGAGATGGAATGACGGAGTGGCTGCAACAATGGGCTCAAACATAGCAGTAATTGTGAGGATGGTGCAGGACCTGGCAGTGTTTTGTTTTTTTGTATATAGGGTCACAATGAGTCGGAATGGACTCGATCGCACCTAACAACAAATATTTGAATTTTAGATTTGAATTTCATATTAACATCATCATAAAAATATAAAAATGCCTAGTTTCTTAATTTATTGGAATCTGTAAGGGCATTGTAGTAATAGTCTGCAACATGATGCTTGTTTACAGTGGTTTTATTGGCACTTTTACTTAAAGATTAAGATATATATAACAAAATTTTCAAAATTTCTGATACCAACATTGTTATTACACAATTAAATATATTTTGGGGTATACCTACTATATGCACATCTGTATGTCTATGGTTCAGATAATTATTAAAACTCAAGGGTAGCTTCAGCCATAAGGGAGTAACTGGGACTGCATATCCACTTCTGCTGTAAATACACTGAAAACTAGACAAAATATATGGAATAACCTTTTTTTCAAACATTAGATAACAGGCAGCACAGGGCTAGGATCCCTGAGAGAAGGGATAAAAGTGGGGTAAGCCCCATAATTGCCCTTGTTTTCTGCCTGGAAGCACTGTCCAGATCATTGTGCAGGGAGAGAAAATGCAAGAAGAACATGGTGATCTTGTTGAATTGAGAATGGGGAAATAGGAGCTGGAAAAAACTGAGATCGCTGTAATTTGAGGGGCAGAGTAATTGTGTGGAGGAAGATAGGTGGTAAATGAAGTCCATAAATTTGCAGAAGTAGTTCCTGTAGTCAGCTAAACCAAAACCCAACCTGTTGCCCTCAGGTCAATTCCAACTTATAGCAATCCTATAGGACAGAGTAGAACTGCCCCATAGGGTTTCCAAGGCTATAATCTTTGTGGAAGCTGACTGCCACATCTTTCTCCTATGGAGTGGCTGGTGGGTTCAAACCTCCAACCTTCCCAATAGCAGTAGAGCTCTTAACCACTGTACCACCAGGACTCCTTTGTAGTCTGCTACTGAATGTTAAATCAAACATGCATAAGGCTAAACTACACAATGTCAATCAAAGAAAAACAAGGGAATTGTACATTAAAAAAAAAAAAATTCCAAATGAGGTAGCTGACTGTAAAGTTTAGAACAGACAGAAAGTAGAGTCCTCATTAAACACCTGTAGCCAAGAAAGCATAAAGCCAAGAAAAGACATAGTTTTAATAGTAAGGCTATACTTGCCCTAGGGAAAAAGCTAATTGAGGCCTGAAAGGATTAATTAAGATGGCATAAGCAACTTAACTGTCTGGCAGAAAAATGGACAGCATCCTTTAAAGGAAGACAACACAGCTCTCAACAGTGTGAAATTCACATGGTTTAGCATCCAATAAAAATTATGAAACAAAGACTGGGTTGAGCTGGGACTGTTAACCAAAATGTCTACAGGTGGCTTTTCCATGTAGTGTTGGCATCCTTATAATATGGTTGTTCAAGGAGCCAGGAATGTGTTTTCCAATGAAAAAGGAAGAACCTTCATTACCATTTATGATCTAACATAA